GGGGTCCTCTGTAGATGGTAGTAGGTTTTGATGAGGGTCCTCTGTAGATGGTAGTAGGTTTTGATGAGGGTCCTCTGTAGATGGTAGTAGGTTTTGATGAGGGTCCTCTGTAGATGGTAGTAAGTTTTGATTAGGGTCCTCTGTAGATGGTAGTAAGTTTTGATTAGGGTCCTCTGTAGATGGTAGGTTTTGATGGGGGTCCTCTGTAGGTGACAGTATGTTTTGATGAGGGTCCTCTGTAGATGATAAGATGTTTTGATGGGGGTCCTCTGTAGATGACAGTATGTTTTGATGAGGGTCCTCTGTAGATGATAAGATGTTTTGATGGGGTTCCTCTGTAGATGACAGTATATTTTGATGGGGATCCTCTGCAGCTGGTAAAGTACATTGACAGATTGCTTTAGGAGATTGTACAGCAGAATGTTTGTGTTTTGTAGAAACTGGTGAGGGATTTTGAGAAGTCTCATTGGGAGACACTGAGCGACATTGGTTAATCTCTTTTAAATATGATTCTGGACTTCTTTGAAGCCCTACAGAAGACAGTGCAGCACTACTTTCCAAGTCTTTTAGCAACAGTGCAGAGCTGTCTTTCAGGGCTGTGGTAGATTGTCGAGGACTGATTTGGAGGTCTTCAATAGACGGTCCAGGGCTGTTCTGCTTCTTTTCAGGTTGAGAACTTGTTTGATGGTCTGTAGGAGATGGTACAGGACTGGGCTGTGGCTCTGAACTGATGAGACAGACCAGGCTGTGAGCAGAGGGACTGATGAGTGGAGTCTCAGGTTGGGTTGAAACTTGTGACAGTGAAATGTTAGTGGGTTGTACTGAGGTCTGATTGATGGACAAGGAGTTTAGCTCTGTTTTCTGAGACCTGCAGGAGGAGCAGATGTAACCTTCAGAAKCCGCCCTACCACCTCCAGCCTGTTCTACACATTCTGAATGGATCGACCTGTAACAAAAACACAGTTTCCAAGTTTTTATTGTCTTCATGGGCAGACAGGAGGAAGAAACCAATAAATAAAAACAATACTTATATTTTGATAAGTTGTTTAAAAAAAACGAAGTCCTAACCAGGCCTCGCTGGACCCTGATTACCTGTAGCAGTGGGTACAAGCCAGAACCTCCCGCAGTGTGGACTGGTCGGTGGCAGGGTCACAGAGAAGGCAGGGCAGGGYGGGGTCACATGACTCACACAGAAACAGGTGATTGGCCCATTGGCCAGATGACATTACACCACAGCGGCGACAGACTCTACAGTTCTGAAGAGCAGAGGAGGTTGATGAGTTCAGAACCAACACAGTTCTGTTGGGTTTGTGTAGTGGTGTGTGTCTCACCCTGCAGATCCAGCCGGTGCTCGGTGCGTAGTCAACAGGTGGTGTGAGGCAGTGCGTGTGATAAGCTTTATCACACCGCTCACACACCARCAGCACAGCTTCGTCTCCTCGTAACCTGAAACACAAACAGACCCAGGTTTTGTTCTGTGGGGTCCAACAGACACTTAAAGCGTAACTAACCTCCCCATGAAAGCTCAACTGCCCCCAGACCACCAAGAAAAAAAAAATCCAACAAAGTAGGTTATGCCAAGAGGCACTGACGGGCACGGCCAAGRGTGGAGATGAGCGATGGGGTGACAGCTAGCTTAATTTGACAAGCTAACATTTCTGACAACAGGTGTGTGTAGAGACAACAGGTTCTGTGGGTTACCTGCAGCTGCGACACACTCGACACTCGGGACACTGCCACCCAGCCCGACACAGAGGGGAGGGGCTCAGAGGCGGGTCCAGGCAGCTGCCATGGTAACAGTTACCACAGCAACTGCACATTAGCAGGCCACCAGGTCTGGCACCGTCTGAACACGACACACACTGCGATGAGGCTGCAACGACAAGAAACAAACACCAGTCCATGTGCTGCACTTCAAAACATCACAGCAGGGTGTGGCTAAAAACACCTGTACCTGTGTGGGCGTGCCTCGTGCAAAACGTGCGCCTCTGGCTCCAATCCTGGTGAGCGCCAGCAGCAGCAGCACAGGGGAAGTGGTAACTCCGCCCACACTCTGTCTCATGGCAACGCACTGTTGCACCAAGCCTCTGGCAGAATGCGCACACCTGCACAGATGATAGAGAGAGAGGGCGGGGCTTAAACAGGATGTGAAAAGTCCATAACAAACAGGTCAGAGGAAAATCAAATCTAAAATAATCAAAACACCCACGTCCGACAGAAACARCCCAAACCATTAGCCATCCACCACTGTGCTGACAGCTGAGAGGAGCTATTTGCTGCAGTGCATTCTGGGTAAACATCTGTCCTTAAGTCTTATTGGTAAGGACAGGCTACTGCAAACATTCCAAACAAACCATGACCTTTGACCTAATGACTGGGGCCAGTACTGTGTGACCTTTGACCTAATGACTGGGGCCAGTACAGTGTGACCTTTGACCTAATGACTGGGGCCAGTACAGTCTGACCTTTGACCTAATGACTGGGGCCAGTACTGTGTGACCTTTGACCTAATGACTGGGACCTGTACTGTGTGACCTTTGACCTAATGACTGGGGCCTGTACAGTGTGACCTTTGACCTGAATTGTTGGTCTGGACAGGGTTTTGATGGAGATTAATTCTTAATCAACAAACCTTTATTTTTTCCTCTCTCAGGGTGTTGTTCATGTTTAAAAACCAACTTTGCACAGAATACTTTTTGTGGTAAGAAATAAACTGAAATGAGTTTAAAAACAAAATATCTGTGTATGTGGTTGGAGATTGTGTGTGTGTGTGTGTGGGTGTGTGTGTGTGTGTGTGTGTGTGTAGTACAGTTGTGGTGGTGGGGCATGAAATTATTTTTATAAACCAAAGGGGGGGCCATCAGAAAAGGTTTGGGAACCACTGTCCTGGAGGATGCTGAAGATTTATACATATTTGAATTCTGATCACTGGATTTCTGCTGATTGGACTTGTGTTCATCTGGTTTATTGTAAAACAGCATCGGCGGCTATTCAGGCCATTTCTCAGCTGCCTAACCAGTATGAAAGGATGTGCCGTGCTATCAGCACTCAGACTCTAGCCCTGTGTGAGCTGAGACACAGTCTGCAAGCAGCTCTTGAGGGTTGTGGGCCAGCTGCGGTCCCTGGAACTCACTGGCAAGATGGAATCGATCTTGGAGAAACCGATAGCTTGAMTCGGCGGGAATGCCCAYACCAATTTGTCTGATTGGACTCACCMCCTTGGGATGTATCAGCGGAGGTTAAGGCAGTAGAAAAAAATATTGTCTGCCTTACCGAAAACATTTTCTTGCCATCTGCATTGGGCTCCATGATTCAGCCTTAGTAKGCTGATTATCTTAAAYTCTCCCTGATGGTATGCAAACAAGACCCTCCTCATCCACCCCCTATCAACACCTGTGACGTCGAACTAGGCTCAATGCTGAGTGATGAACTTCATCCCATCTATCRGGACAATGGCAGAATGTTACCTAGGCCGTGGTGCACAGGCTCACATTACATTACACACATGTACACACACACACTTCACAAAGACCACCCATYCCATGTACAACACCTTCTTCACCGGCGAATGTGTTTTTGTTTGTGTCCCCAGCTCTGTGTATCGCGAGTCATTTGTTGTGCATATGATCTTATGTTTCCGATGTAAACACAGGATCAGAGCAATTTTTTAACCCAACTTTCCTTTTGTGTATTTCCAGCTGTTAAAGGCAGCGCCTACTCATGATGTTCCTTCATGTTGATGATCCTTGCCCTGTGCAGGGTCTATGGCTGCAAGACCTGGGGGCACTTTGTTTATGTTTTGTCTTGTGAACGGGTGTTCTGAACTGTAATTTCCCCTTGGGATCAATAAAGTTTTATCAATCAACCAGAACCGTACTGATCAGACAGAAACTCACCTGAGTGCTTCCTGAATCGATGGCTTTGTCCACAAAGAGCAGTGACTGACCTTCGCCCTGACGAACGCCCTCTGACCAGGAGGCACACTGCAGGTGAGCACAGCACTGACCTGTGCAGACAGGTATGGTTAATATACACTAACACAGGTCAGGTTAATACATGAACACAGCAGCAGGAGGAAGAGGACGAGGATGGACCTGTGGCGTCGAACAGTGATTGGACGTTGATGTCACAGGGAAGGCCGATGGGTCCAAGCTGCCTGATGAACTCTGAAGAAGACTCTTCCTCTGAAAGACACAGGTAAAGAGACGGGTTAAAAGACAGGTAAGGAGTCACACACCTGCAGCTGGTGGACCAGAGAGGACAACTCACCACACGGTTCTGGACTGCTGCATCTGAAAGCAAATAACCAGACCAGCTGATTAATCCAACACAATATAAATACTCAGGTGGGACAAACAGGAAACAAAGTCACTCACGTGGGCGGGGCCTGGTTGCCATTGTAACAGTGGTCGTGGCAGTCGTCGTCCTGGTCTGAGGATGCACGGCGGTTGAGAATGTGGAGCGGGATGTAGCCCGGTGTTGGGCCAAACACCAGCAGGCGGCCCTGGCCCAGAGGAGGCTGGTCGCCACGGTAACAGAAGGCACACTGCTTCAGCCTGCAGGAAGACAGGTCAAAGGTCACAGTCTCAAGTTACTGACAGCATGGCTGAAACCTAGGCAACCRTCTCCTGTTGCAGTCCCAGCTTAACCCAGATTCTGAGTCCTCTTTAAGATCCTGATCACTCCAAACTGGACCAGGAGCAAACAGGACCTGATCTGGATCCACTTTGTTTAAAACAGACGAATCAAGTCCAGTCCAGCAATGACATCTGGTCCATGTTGGGTTTTAGGACTGACCGACCCTCCATCCATCCATCCATCATCATCCATCCATCATCATCCATCCAGTCACCCATCCACCCACACACTCCATCTATCCATCCATCCATCCATCCATCCATCTATCTACCTACCAACCAGTGCTGGGCAGTATACTGTTTTGTCCCAAAAACTGGTTTTATTTTTGTTATAATATGAATTTTCTGAGAAATAGCCTGAACAYGTTCGGAACGTTTTGTCGCTGCTGCCAGTGAACTGTTTCCCAGGGGACACTTTTCCTGGTAGCACCACTATRCATGTTAGCATGCTAATGTTGTTGTTGGAGCAGCTCATGGCAGTAACTGGCGGCGGGTGGTGTTTCAGCTGCTTATATTGACTGAAGTTAGGGCTGGGTGGTATGACCTCAGATTCATATCAGGGTATAAACTGAATYCCTTCACGGTAACCGTATACATCGTGTAGAAAATTATCATAAAAAGTAAAGATTATGTCATTTTTAGAGCTTTTTTTTTGCAGAAAAGCATTTTTGCTTCTGCCTGCTGAATAGGGGTGTAAGAAAATATTGATACACTGAAATATCGTGATATTTAATTTTCCGATACTGTATCGATA